CTCTCTCTCTCTCTCTCTCTCTCTCTCTCTCTCTCTCTCTCTCTCTCCACGTCTCTATAGGAGGAATTTGCACACCTGGATATAACAAAGACTCTGGGGTTCTCCACTCAGGTATCTATTCGAGGAGACAGAAATTGGTGACTCCTGTTCTGAAGAGTTCTTTCCACCAGGAGTGACTGACTGCCTTAACCCGACAGCCTTTACGGGTTTAAGTTCCGGTCTTGGGTTAAGTAGGAGGCAACGTATTCAAGTCGATTAGATCTCGCGAATTTTCAGTGAGGAAAAGTTCTCCTCTCCTTAGTTTCCTCTTATCTCTGTTAACAAGCTCCTCTTCGACTTGTCCTCCTTAAGAGCTGGTCTTTTGAGGTTACTGATGTATATTACGAGGGGTCTTGGGACTCACTTAGAGGAACTTGTCTACTTAACTACTTGTAAACTTCTTCAGCGACGTGATGGCCCCGAGGAAGGAAATGATTAGTACTAGAAATACCCCCCCAAAAAAAAAATAATTTCTCAATGGAATTTCTTTACTAATTCCTTCTACGTTAAAAAAAATACATGAATAGTAAATATGTAGGTAAATATCTACTCCATATGAACACACTCGAGGGAAAGTATTAAGGTGATAGAACTTCATTTGAGGGTTTAGGAGAGGGTCAGTCTCCTTATGAATCTGAACGTCTTCATCCCTCACAGTGTTGTCCCTTTTATAAGAACTTTGAGAGAAGGAGAAGGTGTAGGGCGTCTCTGGAACAGGTCGAGGTCGGTGTACCAGGCGCGCGCTGTGTCAAGTCTGTGTGTGTGTTGTTTATGATGTGTATGAATATCTGCTCCTGCCTTATGTATGTATGTATGTATGTATGTGTTGCTGCCTCCTGTGCCTTGTATGAGTGTGTGTTGCTGTGTGTATGGTGTGTGTTGCTTGTGTATGAGTGTGTGTTGCTGCCTTGTGTATGGGTGTGTGTTGCTGCCTTGTGTATGAGTATGTGTGTGTTGCTGCCTTGTGTATGAGTGTGTGTTGCTGCCTTGTGTATATATATGTTATTATTTTCTCTCCTCTAGGCAGGACCATAAAACATAGTGGTAAGGACCTCTTGTAACTCCATCACGTACATGACTGTTGTGGAAACCTACAGTGTACTTCCAAGTGCTCTCGAGGGGATCATTTTGACACGCAGATCTGCAGCCCCGCCCTTCCCTCACACACAGTGTACACGTGCCGGGGAGGGGAGGGAGGTGAGGTAGATTTCTCATAGTGAGGATAGGTTTAGTATTTGCCCTTCTTCTCCTCCGGGGTTTAATCATAGTTTTCCTGGATTGTTTTCCGGACTCACGACCAGAAATATAAGAGGGTGTTTGTTTGGGTTTGGCTTCTGCAAGGCTTCAGATTCTCCTTGTTAAGTTCATTTCGTAGAGTTCTCTGAAGAGTATGGCAATTCTGATTTCTTCTTATTATTATTATCAATTTTTAATGGGTCTCGACGGGATATGACTGAGACCACCAATCAGCTTAAAGATACGTGAATGAATTTACAGTTTGATAAAGGTGGAGAAGCGGGACAACCTGCCCTCACTCACACTCTGCCTCTGTGCCTCTGATCATCAGGAAGGCGTCAACTCCGCCTCGTACAGACTTGAACTATTTCCCTGGACGAGGAGGAGTCGCTGATGGACTGGGTCGCTGACAAGCTTGTAAAGAGACCAGTCGTGTTCTCTCTTATAATTTATCTAAAACTCGTGTTACCTTCTCTCTGTCGCGTTACCAACTGAGATATTTCTTGCCATCTCCTCCGTTTTTTAGCTGACTTAAGATACTCCAAGAGCCCAGTGAGGCGAGGATACCCTTTCTCCTGCCGTGGGTTAGTGTGGGAGTCTGCTGGGGGAGGGGGGGGGGAGACGCCTTGAGGACCAATGCCAAATGAAGATCAAGATGCGCAGTACTGTATTTTCTGTGGCGCCACGTGCTCGTCTTCCATCATCCCTCTTAGCTCTCAGTGACGGGAAATCCTCAGCTTGTAAATAATCCTTTCCAGTGTAATGGCTGCTACAGGGGAGGACTAGTAAACACACACACACACACACACGCGTGAGCCGCCTAGTGACAGGTTGAGGCTTGGCATTATAAAGGATTTTTTTAATAATTATTGTATTTTATTCATTTTCGTCTTCAAACTTTACAGAAAATACTCCCCTCTTTTTTTCTTTTCTTGTTTATATATATATTTTTTTTTTGTGGGGCAATCATTCGAAAAAAATATACTAGGTAGTTTTTTTTATCGCTTTTGTTTTTAAAAAGATTGTTTGTTGTTTGTAAAGAGTGGGGTGAGCGGAGCAGAATCGGATGGCCCATTTGGTAGACAAATTGTGGACAGGTGACCCTTACTGGCCACCTGGGACCGACACACACACACACACACACACACACACACACACACACACACACACACACACACACACAGAACATAAGAACATAAAAATGGAGGAAACTGCAGCGGGCCTATTGACCCATACTGGACAGTCCCGTTTACACCCAACCCCTATTGCTCATATATCCATCCAACCTATGTTTGAAGCTATCCAGCGTATTCGAGTTAATGATGATGTTTGGTAACTTGTTCCACTCGTCCACTACTCTATTTCCAAACCAATGTTTACCTATTTCGTCCCCTGCCCACACACACACAGAGCTCTGTTTTCCCCCAGTGTTTCGCGTCATTTTCTCTGATTCTCGTTTACTTTTCCTTTCTGTTTCTGTGTTCCATCTACTTTTTTCATTTGTCTTTTCAGAGAGACAGAAACAGACGAGATAGTCAGACAGGCAGAGACAGACAATTATAGAGAGAGACGAATAAACAAGACAGAAAAGAGAGAGAGAGAGAGAGAGAGAGAGAGAGAGAGAGATCCAACTTTCATTCATATTTAAATAGTCCTTTGGGGAAAAAATAGGTCGTAAATTATCCCCCATCGACATTCTGGGGAGAAAAGGGTTCAGGTTTCTCAAATGACCTGCTTGGCTGAGCGGCTGAGTGGGAGGAGTCAGCGTCTTACAGGTCAGGTCAGGTCAGGGCTAAGATTGACCTTCACTAAAACTCGGTGTTGATTTATAAGTGCAGTAATTAAGTGATTATAACGACTAGTGTTAGCGAGAGGTAGGTGAGAGGGAAGGAGAGGTAGGTGAGAGGGAGGGAGAGGTAGGTGAGAGGGAGGGAGAGGTAGGTGAGAGGGAAGGAGAGGTAGGTGAGAGGGAGGGAGAGGTAGGTGAGAGGGAGGGAGAGGTAGGTGAGAGGAAAGGAGAGGTTGGTGAGAGGGAGGGAGAGGTAGGTGAGAGGGAGGGAGAGGTTGGTGAGAGGGAGGTAAGTGGGAGATGATGATAGAGAGGGTGAGGGAAAGATGGTTGACTCGAGTTAAAATCGGGGAGAAGTTGGTGAGAGAGAATGAAGGAGAGAGAGAGGGAGAGAAGCTGATGAGAGGGTAAGAAGAGAGTGAGTGAGAGAGAGAGAGAGAGAGAGAGAGAGAGAGAGAGAGAGTTATTGAGTGAGAAAGGGAGGATAAGACACCACACGGAATATAGCAGTACTGTATTTTAACCTCCAACAATGGACCCAATTCCCACCTATCCTGACTTGACTGGAAGTACTCGTAGACGTGAGGGAGTTCTTGTCAAGTGAGGTATACAGTACGGCAGGCGATAGCAAAATCTCATCATTCTTATCTTCGAGGTTTTAGTGAACAGTTATGACCCTCAAATAAAAAAAAAAGTTCCCCCCCCAAAAGTATATAAAAGTCAGTTTTGGATTTTTTTTTAACTCGGAAATAAAAAAAGTCACCAGAAACGCCATAAATAGCTTACTAAAGATCAGTATTTGACGATTTTAAATAAGAAGTGAATGTGAATCGTCCAAAATAGCATAAAACGACTGATTTGTGGCCATTTGAAATCGGAAATGGAAAAGTCATCTAAAACTGGAGCCGGAAACAAGACTTGGCTGTAATTTGTGACCTGAAGTATTTTATCTCCTACTAAGTTCAATGGTGAGGTCCACTATGGTTTATGTGGTCATTTCGGGACAACTTTTCAGGCAAGATCTCTCGCTGGCAGTAAATTTTAGGGTTAGTTTAAGAAGAGGAAACTGCGTCACGTATTCTTGTTCCGTCTCTTAGTGATTATGTTGACGGGCCGCAAGACGAGGGAATCTCTCTCTCTCTCTCTCTCATACAATTAATCGTCTTTTTCCATATACTCACTTCATTCTGTTTAGAGAATTAGAATGCAGGACAGTTAAGTGTGTGTGTGTGTGTGTGTGTGTGTGTGTGTGTGTGTGTGTGTGTGTGTGTGTGTGTGTGTGTGTGTGTGTGTGTGTGTGTGTGTGTGTGCGTGCGTGCGTGTGTGTGTGTGTGTGTGTGTGCGCGCGTGTGTGTGTGTGTGTGTGTGTGTGTGTGTGTGTGTGTGTGTGTGTGTGCCAGACTTCGGCCGGGAGAAAGGACAGGGGATAGTGTACGTTTATCAAATAATCACGTAGAGTTAAAACCTTTTTTTTCCGGGGATTAGCTAGACCAGCACCGCCGTATTTGTATTATCATCTCGACTTAATTATATGTTATAAAGTCATTTGTTAATTTTTTTTTAAGGTAAATGTCAACAAATAAGTGGCTGAAATAATACGAAAATAACCAAATAAAATGTTTTTGGTAAATAAGGATAATTGGCGATCAGTGATGACCTAGCCTAACCTAACCTAACCTAACCTAACCTAACCTAACCTAACCGACGTCTAAAATGAGAGACATCATTTTACAGTATACAGTATCAACTAATTTAAATTAAGTTGTAGCAGTAAAAACAATGTTCTCCCTCTTTAGTAAAAAGGCTACTGTGTTTTAAAGCTTAAAAGTCGACTGAGCGTGACGTATATATCGTGGCTTGTACACTATATACGGATTATTGCCAAATATCGATAACTTCTATGTATGTTTTTTTTTAAATCGAACTTATGACTTAC